CTGGCTGGCCTTTAAGGCAGGTCAGGTTTTAATTCCTCCTTCGCCTCCTTCCCGAATAAATGTATTTACCCCTAATTCCTGCCTTCTTCCACGTATTGGGAAGTTCCAGCACACTGCACCGAGATTGTCATGCTACTCATTATATGCATGGCTTGGCTATTCGTTCTGTGTTGTCACACGTTGCCAAGATGGCATTGCCATAGGCACTCATGTAAATGTGATTACATTTCCCACTTTTGTGTCAATGTCATCCACATACAACAGAGAGTGACTGAAAGGAACAGCGAATTTACCAACCATTGATTATTTAAAAGGAATCATCAATTAGCCATTCGTGGTGCTGATCAAAAGATTTGCATCGCTTGTTCATTGAGTTAGACCAGTGCTTACTTGTTAGTGTTTGAGTTAACTAACATCGGCGCGGCTCCAAATCATCTGGGAGAATCATTAAACACGGAGCAGCAAGTCATTCACTTGATGATGCTAACGATTGTGAGGAAGGCGGAGACACTGTTCGTCTTTGTGTTCAACAAAAATATGAGGAACACGGTGCGACGAGTGCCAGTAAAACATAAAATGATGGGTGAATAGCGGCAGTCTCCTTTTTACATGCCTACCTTGTCTAGCACGGTGTAGGGCTCCTCGCACTCATATTGGAAGGGCGTGATTTCGAGGAATTCCTTGTAATACTTGTTTTGTGTCATCTCGAATTCTGTAGCCCACTTTCGCACCTTTGCAACCTCATCCGATTGTAGTGGAGCCACCACCTGCTTCATCAGCACAACTCTCTTCTTTAAGTTGTTCCACCTCCGAGGCAGCTCCTAAAGGGTTCCATAGTGTTGGTGCTAAAAACTCCTAACACTCCATTCAAACGTGGTTATCTGTGTGCCAAACAGCCGGAAGAAAAGGTTGACTCAAATTATCCACTCGAATTAAATAAAAAAAGATTTGTTAAAAAAGTGAAGCTTGCATGCCTCGATGAGAAGTTGAGTGGCCGGAGACACCTCTTGGCCGTAGGACTTCAGCAAATCAGCAGTTTCCTTCAGTGGTTCAAACATTGAGTCGGTGGCAGATTGACGGGCTTTTACGGCGCCGAGGCAGCTCATCGCCTCCACCAGGCGATCGTAGTCACCGGGTTTCGGATCATCTTGCAGCGTCTCAGTCGAACTCTTCCATGGGTAGGTAGAAGACACTCACAGTGAGCACAAACGACTCAAAATTTGGACAGAGCTTTAAGTTTAGGCGAGAGATCAAACGGCTTATAAAATCACCAGTACTTTAAAAGACTCCATCCGATTTAATGAAACTTATTGACGAGTAGAGTTATAAAGACTGATGACTTCCTTGCAGGCCGTCCAATTTCAGCTAGAAATACTGGCATTTCTAAGTGAAGAAAATGCAAACACCAAACCAACGAGGCTTACAAAGAGGAATGCAAGATTGCCAAGAATGCCATGATTTCCATAGGTCTGCTCGAATGAGGCCACGTACCTTGATGAATTCAGTCAGATCACTTAAGCTGTTAGTCACGAAGTCGACCAAGTAGTTCTTGAACAGGAGGCTCCACCGTTTCACGCAATTACTCAGGCCCTGTTTGAATGGTTTAGCGTTGATTTTGAACCAAGGTTCTACCAGAACAACCTCCTCCATTTTGCTGACCTGGAGTTATTTTAAAATAACCTTCAAGTGCAAGACCATACTCTTAAAAAAGCAGTAAAGTTAGTAACGCGCCTCAGAATAAATGGCTTCGTATTCTTCTATCTTTCTCTTGAACTTCTTCAATGAAGGTGTTGTATGTAGGTCGTCAGAATTGTTGTTTTCTTCATTGAGGAAGTCTTTTAAGCTTGCCTCTCTGTTGTCTGTCCAGAGGTAGGCGAATCTCTCCATGCTGTCATTGTATTCCCGTGCTCCCTGCACCGCCGCTTCGACTCGCTCAATGAAAATCTGCCTCAACTCCTCCAATTCAATGTTCTTCTTAATCCCTTCCTTTTGAGGAGAGTAACAAAAGTGTGCTAACACTTTGATCAACACGTTCAAGTCATCTAGCAGGGATGCAGAGGAGGTCACTAACCTCATACGTTTGACCTTCACCATCCTCTAAGGTGACTCGAGTCATCTGGTCAGCCTGTTTGTAAATGTCCTCCAGTATGGCATTGCAGACATCAAAGAAAGTGGAGTTGGGTCCCTGTTCCAGAGCTGGCACAAAACTTATTCCAGAAATCTTAAATAAACTGTAAAATCCATGTTTAGCTAACCCACTGTGAGATCCATTTGTATTTCAAAAAGCGGGTGAAGGTCTGGATTCTCGCTATTAGTTTCTGACAAGAGGAAGTCAAGCGAACAGCGAATCGTCTCCACGAAGCTTGAGGTGATGATGCTGTCCACATCCTTCACGTAAGCATTCCATGCCGATGAGTCCGCGCTGGCTCTGAAGAGTTGACGGTTATTCTGAAAAGCGTAACCATAGACTCTTAACGACCCTTCAGGGGTTAGCGACTACGAAGCCTCCAAGTTGATCACCAAACCAGTACCAATGATTTGATTACCTCCAGAAGGGCAAACACTTTTTTGCCCGCTTCTTTGATTTCCGCATTACGCCGCTCGGCGTTGCCATTCCTCTCCAGCAGACCATCTGCTTTGCCATCGCGCCTTTCAAATAACGGAGCATGCGTCCATGTTGCCATAAGCCTGCAAATTGTATACCAATTCGTTTCTGCTTCCCTTGTTCGCTGATAAATCGCACTTATTGCATCGCTTGTGGATGTTATATGCTCCCATGCTTCTAGAATTGACAATTTGAAGCACAAAGAAGGACTGAAAGAATGAGAAGCAGGATAGATTTAATATAGTTGCTTGTTGATTGAAGTCGGCGGTTCACGTTTCGTCGAAATTGCTCACTGTCTGTTTGGGGGATGAAGTTTGTTTAATTTCCTAGGCTTAGGGCATAACTCTTTGGACCTCCTGGGACTTATAGACTTCATTACTTGTGCAAAAAAATTCGGGCCTTCAAGGCCATTCGACATTGGCGGTGTGAAAGTGTATCGGTGCCGCGAGGGGAAGGAAGGAGGACAGGGCGAGAGATTTGTAAAAGACATAGGAGTTTCCAAATCCAATCTTGTAAACAATGCAATGATGCATTAACCTACCTGCATCGGACCAGAGCAGCTTTGTAGCTGCCTTTCGCAGTAGACGTTCAACTTCAACCAGATCGGTGGAGATCAAGGCGATCACATTGTCAGCACTTTTTGTTCGTAGATATGTGTGCTTCACTACCAAGGCGTTTAAGATGAGTTTGTACTTTCGAAGCATTTCACGATGCTCAAAGAGTCGTAACGCTGCATCTGGTAAGTTGGTGCCGGCTAGGGAAAGGAGGTACTTTACTTCG